TATACGGTGATGATGTTGGCCAACGTGTTGTTCTTCCGGCTTCATTCATAGGTGGACCTCGGGATATGCGAAAACGCTACCTAGATGCAATGGCAATTGTTCAGCAATATGGGAAACCAGATTTGTTTGTCACAATGACGTGTAATCCTAATTGGCCTGAAATCAAAGAACATCTCCATCACAGAGATGAGGCACAAAACAGACCAGATCTTGTATGTAGAGTCTTTCATGCACGTTTGCAAGAATTCAAAAATGACATAATCAAGAATAAGTTTTTTGGGGAAGTTGCAGCATACATATACGTAATTGAATTTCAAAAGCGTGGACTTCCCCATGCACATTTTCTTATAATCCTCAAAGTTCCTTCAAAAATTCAAAGTCCCAATTCATGCGACAAGTTTGTTTGTGCGGAAATACCCGACCCTCTACATCAACCACGTCTATATGCACTTGTTAAGAAACACATGATACATGGGCCTTGTGGAACCCTTAATCAAAGTTGCCCATGTATGACGAAAAAAGGGACAATTAACAGCCTCGTGCAAAAACAAGTACCCGAGATCTTTAATTGAGGAAACATCATTTGGTGAATATTCATTCCCTGTCTACCGTAGGAGAAGTGGCACTAATTCCGTAGAAATACGTGGCTACAAACTTGATAACTCCTGGGTGGTACCATATAATCCCCAACTTTTGTTGAAATTTGATTGCCACATTAATGTTGAGATCTGTGCTTCAATTAGATCCGTGAAGTACATATATAAATATGTTTACAAAGGACATGATAGAATTTCAATTGGAATCACGAATGATCAAAACACTCCTGCTCTTGACGAGATAACAGCTTATCAAAATGCAAGATGGGTTTCGGCACCGGAGGCAGCATGGAGGATATTTGCCTTCACCATTGCCGAGATGTATCCCCCCGTTCAACAATTACAAGTGCACCTGGAAAACTTTCAGTATATCAACTTCTTCGGAAATCAAAGAATCACAAGAATAGTGAAAGATGACAACCTGTCAAGTACAATGTTGACAAAATTCTTTGAAATGAACCTACACGATGTGACTGCAAAAAGACTCCAACTTCTGTATGTACAATTCCCAGAGTTTTTTGTTTGGTCAAACACAAACAAGAGGTGGACGATACGAAAGCGAAAAAACGTCATAGGACGACTTGTGAGTGTTAATCCAATTGAGGGTGAAAGATATTATCTTCGCATGCTACTCCAACATGTAAGAGCTCCAACATCGTTCACCAGTCTAGAACTTGTGGATGGTTATACAACGTCCACATTTCGAGAAAGTGCAGAGAGAATGGGGCTTCTAACAGGAAATGCTACAGCTGATGTTTGCCTTGAAGAGGCTGTGATGTATCAAAGGCCCAGTAGCTTGCGGAAATTATTTGCGACAATATTGGTGTTTTGTGACATTCCAAATCCAAGAGAGTTATGGGCTAAATACAAAACGTATCTATATGAAGATTTTTCGCAGGTACACATCTACACTCCATTGGAAATGGAAACAATGACACTAAAACTTATTGGAGATATTACTGAAGCACTTGGAAAAAGTATTCTCACATTCAACCTAACAGACTGTGCCATACCCTTAACAGCTGCTAAAATTCAGGCACGAGAATTAAGATCAGAATTCAACATAAATATAAGCGAGCAAGACCTTCAATGCGCTCAGATTCTCAATAGCGGACAACAGATTGCATTTGACTCTATTATGAAGAGTGTGACATCCAACAAACCAACAGTGTTTTTTGTAGATGGCCCTAGTAGCACCGGGAAAACATTTTTGTATAGAGCGTTACTTGCAACAATTCGGAGCAAAAAATGGATAGCTTTAGCTACTGCAACATCAGGTATTGCTGCTTCTATTCAAGGACCTCCGGCGTGCCGTGTAAGATCCAAATTTAATGGTAACCTACCTTTACTATTTATGTGGACGTTGTAACCATTCGTTTCACGTTATCGTTGATTACTTAGAGAAGCACGAATCATCATATGGGATGAGATTACAATGGCTAATCGCGGAATTATAGAGGCATTGGATTTAACACTTAAGGATATTATGTCCTCTGATGAGCTATTTGGAGGAAAAGTCATTGTTTTCGGAGGCGATCTACGTCAGACACTTCCTGTTGTCAGGAATGGAAACAGACAAGACTGTATAAATGCCTGTATCGTAAAATTGTCTCTTATTTGGCCAAAGATGATACGCCTCACTTTAGAAGAAAATGTTCGGGCGCAGGCTGATCCCTCCTTTTGTGAGTATTTAATGGACATTGGAAATGGGTCAACGCCAACTATAAGTGGTACAAACATCAAAATCCCACAACAATTCCTTGTCCGTACCCCCGACAGTTCAGATTTGTTATTATCCCTCATCACCGCTGTTTACCCAAACTTGAACCTCTTTCAAGAGGATCCATATACGTTGATGGGGAGAATAATACTAACTACTACAAATCAGTACGTCGATGAAATCAACACCATTATAATTGGAAAATTTCCTAGAGAATCAAAAACCTTACTCAGCTATGACGAGCCACTAGATGAAAAATACAGAAGTTGCCAAGATTTGTTGCACACGTTATCATTTCCAGGTCTACCACCCCACACATTAGTTCTGAAAAAGAATTGTCCATTAATTCTTCTACGGAACCTAAACCCGTGTGAAGGCCTATGTAATGGAACGCGCTTAATTTGTGATGCATTTCATGATCATCTAATAAGTTGTTTCATAGCTTTTGGTGAGTATAAGGGAAAGCATGTCTTCATACCAAGAATTCCACTTGAAATGTCTAGAGATGAACGTTGCACAATTCCATTTAAGAGAACTCAATTTCCCATCAAACTTTGCTTTGCAATGACAATAAATAAATCACAAGGTCAGACACTCGAATTCGCAAGAATCTTTCTTAGGCAACCTGTCTTTTCTCATGGACAACTATACGTTGCAATGTCGCGGGCCAAAAATGCTGCATCCATCAAGATGCTTATCTACGATGAAATAGATAATTTGAAGACGACAAATGTTACAGCAAACATAGTGTACAATGAAATCATTGAATACCTTACATAAGAAAGCACCAGGTTTGTTGGATTTTAATGAATTCTGTTGCCCATTTTTAATATTTTAAAGTACATGTTGCCTATTGGAAATTTAATTTCATTACAAACTAATATACTACATTTACTTTTTTCAGAACAATGGATGCAAACCAATATATTACGGACGTCACTCCTAGTTCTAAATCATGGGGTTGCAAGGTCATAGTGACAGAGAAGCTTAACGAGCGTCAATCAGCAAGGGGAGTAACATACAGGGCCATGATCATAGAGGACAGTCAAGTAAATTTTCATATCCCACATTTGTACGCAAATTCTTAAAAAAACCACTTATTCTCACAGTAATAAATCTAATTTATACATAGGGCCATAAGGTGAAAGTAGAAGCCACTCAAGGGTTTGGTGTTCCCGATGAAAGTTACAGACATATCTGGACACTTAATCGGAGGACAATGATTCACGATGTCAGCTCAGAAGAGAAAATCTTAATTCAACCAAGTGCAGAACCTGAGATTGATCCATTCTCTCTGTTCTACAAAGCGATGCTTACAAATAAAAAGATCAGTACATGACACAGATTTTGTTTACGGAAAAAAAATATTATGTCCTAAAACTATATATACTTAACATCCTATTTATGTTCTTATATCCTATGGAACTACAGATGTACTTGCAGTTGTCATTGCCAAACTACAGCGCAACTTCGTCTACACAAAAAAGGGCCAAAAAACGGCAAGTGACTTCATAATCATCGACCATGAGTACGTTCCAACATTACTTCTATCTTTTTGCCTTTACTATTTTGTTATTTAAAATTAACTAACAATATTATGTTTCACCTAAGAAAAATAGTTGTAGTTTCTTTTCCAAAAAAAACCTAAATTACCGGTGGTTTTCACTTTCTCTCTTTTTTGACTGATCAGCCCACATATGAATGTCGGCTTTCTTACAATCATGATTAATTGTACGGAGTTTTATGCTTTATTTTTAACTGATTAAGCAGAATTGATGTTAAAATTTTAACCAGAAAATATTAAAAACTTAGGGTCTTTAAATTTTTATAGCTTTACTGCATTGAAAAATTTATAATTGAGGTGGCCATTAATTGACTTGGAATATGTTATTTTTAAATACTTGCTCTTATTTTTAAAGAGGATAACTCCTAAGTGTATGCTTGATATACACCGGCCTGCCCATTTGGTTTATCATTTCAGTGTACCTAAAGTTAATATATTTATCAATGTGAGCATGCAATAATACTAGCATAGTGTTGTTTTCTTACCATCCCTTTCCACATGGTGGCTAACATACAAGTAAAAGGCAGTGAACAACATTTCATCTCTACAACCTTTTCCATTTCATTAACTGATCTTCTCATTTGGTTTTACTCCGAGCCGTAATTAAGCTTGTCTTCTGTCACTAGACACACCATACTTACCACATAGAGCCCGCATGCCTTCTTTTAGAAATACTTTTTGCAACCTTCTTATGAAGAACTAATGTTAGAAACTGCCTTTGAACTATCAAAGATATAAAATCAGTTAACCTTTACAGAAAAGGTACTCTTAAACTATGATTGAGAAAATTGAACTCAAATTAGTGTTGATCATTTAGTATTTTGTTTCGCGTTACACATAGTCTGTCTTCCATTTATCGTTTAAGGCCGTTTGTCGCACTCTTGCTTTTACACTAAGGAACTGTACAGGTACTGCACATCAAACTAGGCGGTGCCTTACTTCAACTTGATTGCACACCCAAGTTCTACGGGGTATTTCATTCATATCTTCATCGACGGGATATACCCCTTTTGATTCTTCTTCATGTTCTCCGTTTTCCATCTTTTTTATCAGGATTTTCCCCAATCTAGATAGCACCACCTAACTGCTTAAATTATTCAAATTCGATATTACTAATTATGACCCTTTAGTTTTGTGACCTCTTATGCACCAGCTAAGTGATTTAATAATTATAACCCTATAATTTCTTTTCTAATTGGACCGTGCTTTGCATATTACTGTTTTCTAACATGAAAAGGCATTCTTGTAGATGCAAACCTATCACTTTCACACTGTGGGACACTTTCGCAGAAGTCCAAGGGTGCGAAATTCAGCAGACACTGCAATCAGGCATTTATCCCACAATAATTGCAAGGAGGATAACATCAACATCTTTCAAAGGTAAATGCATAGCATTATTAACATTACACAATATACCCCATGCTCACATACTATACACCTCTACGCCTGAACTTAAACACAATCATTATACCAGGGCTATCACTAACAACACGATCTGATTCGTCAATCGAGCTGAACCCAGTCATATCACTTACATCAAGTTTGGATGAATGGTAAAGCATCTTTTCTTTTATTAATCAATCATTCCTTTTCAAAAAATATTGCATTTATTAATTCAATATCTTGCAGGAAGTCTTCAAATACATCTGTCATAGAGCACGCCATTGAGACGAAAAAATGGCTGGACCCCTTATCTCTGTTTGCAAAGCCTGAAGATATTCAAACAACACCAATCTCTGAAGTGGCACGAACAACAAATGAGGTCAATACCACATCAGCCTGCGTCTTATATAGGTTTCTTTTATATTGACATGCAATTAAAATTTCTCCCACACATTACAGAACAATTATTTAAAACAAGAAAATTAGGAAATACCTGATATCAAAAATACTACACAAAAAAAGAGAAAAGAAGAGAGGGTAAAGGACCCCTGTAGAGGACAAGATCTTGTAGATTTGAGTAGTTTAACTTGTAAAGTAAAACCTGCATCTCCCCATTCAATAGGCTAAGAAGCTAGCAACTTGCCGGTCTTTGCATGGGACGCCGGCACCGGTGCCCCTTCCTCTTTACGTACTACCGTTTTAGACTTATTTGGGCTAGACAAGTTTAAACGCCTTCGCAGCCCCTACTCCAATTAACGTAAGTTTTGCATGTTCAATTATACAATCAAAACATAGGTATTGAAGAGGTAAGATAGCTCATCTTCAAACTCATAATCTGTTTTAAAATCTGCCCCTTATTGTCCGGTTTCTTCTTTAAAATCAGCTTGAAATCCACATTTTTTCCAAGAATTAGTCACTAATATTTGACTTTTCAGGTAAATTAAAGAAGCAAATATTAGTCACTAATATTTGACTTTTCCACTAATATTTGCTTACACTCAAGAATTGACTTTCTTTAATCCCCTTTCTTTTTAAAATAACCCCTACAGGTTCTGTTTTATCTTATAAGTTAACTTCAAAATTAGACCTATCTTTGAAAATCAGCCCTTAAAGTACCAATTTTCTCATGAAAGTGAGCCCTAAAAGTTTTGACACCAGCCCTTAAAGCCTTTGTCTAAAAGTTTCACAGTGCCAATTAATCCGCCAGAATCGGGACTACTATTTTGGTGCTATTTTGAAACTATAGAAGACTATATCCCTATTCAATGATATGATTCTCATCAATTGGTTAAGGCAAACTGAGGAGGATTTCACCCATTTCCTAAGATTTCCCACTGCTACCCCCCATTGGAGTCCAGGCCATATCTCAGTCCCAGTATGGCTGATCATCCCAAAAGACCAGCCAGGCATCAAACATCCCTTGGTCAGCCTTTACCTGAGCAATTACCTTATACTACGCAGTCTCATCAAACAACGCTTTTTAGCCCTAATTGTAAACTAGAGGCTGCTACACCAGAGCGAACCAACTACGGAAAAATAAAGATGCCAATAGATTATCCAACCATCCCCGCATACATAATAACTTAATAGTAATATAACATATACCTCTTCGATAGCTCGCTTCATACCCCTAGCTGTTTTTCCTTGCTAAAGAGAGAATATCAAATTATATCTCTAATAGAAATATATTAGCCACTGTGCCAATATTTTGAGTCAATCTAGACGATATAAAAACTTATAATATGCATGTCCGAATGTGTTATAAACTCACTGTGCCAATTAAATAAAATGTGTCATCATCTAAGTTACCATGAGAGTATTTGGAGGACCATAATATGCTCCATATATCCTTTCAACTTCTAATATGCATGTCACACTTTAATTTGAACATATACAAATATAATACATGATCATACAGGGAGACATCCACTGGGTTGAAGGACAGTTGCAGGTCTTAGAAACTGGAGACATTACATTCTACATTGGTTGCAGCAGTTGCAACAGAAAATTGGACTACATAGAAGGAATCAATTTCAAATGCATGTTGTGTGGTGACCNTTCCTCTTTACCACGAAAGAACCTGAATCTATTTTGCAATCCGTGCTTTCACCTTATGAATACATATGTCTAATCTAGTTTACAAATCATTACAGATTCAGAATTCTGTCCGAAATAAAAGATGCAATTAGTTCTCTACAAGTAACACTTTTCACCGACACACTTGAAAAGATTGTACGAGCACTTGAATTGAATACACCAATGGAGTTGCTAAAATGCGGGGATTTGAACAACAGTCTTGCATCTCAGAAGGTAACGGCTGCAGTGCAACTACCACCTCGCACTGACCAAACATCTGCATCGAAGACATTCTCACTTCTATCCCTGTACGACATCCGTCATGAAAAAACATCAAGTCCAACGTTAAAGAGAAAGATGAAAGTTGAACAACCCAGCCCCAAAAAACAGTGCTGAGGTCCTGCTACCTTGGAAAGCTTAGTTCAGTACATGTGCAATGCATTTTGTCTTGTATACCTACCTACCCAAATGTTAAAAACTTACTTCACTACTACTAACACTCAGCTACAAGTTCCATATTTTGTCACCCCCCTCTAATATAGTTTGTAAGTTGTAATATATCACATGTAATGTAGTCACCACTCTTCTGTAACCATCACTCATTTGGAACAGAATAAGTTCCAAATTTTGTCACCCTCTAATACAGTTTGTATGTTGTAATATATAACATCTAATGTTACCAACACTCTTTTGTATAATATTAATATGCTTCTACTTAGTCAAAACATTCATATCTGGGCACACACACACGAAGTGTGTCCCATGCTAGTACATTTATAGAATTCAAGTAATAGAAGTGGAAATGGGATGAGTTTGATTGATACTTGACCAAGGTTTGATTATCAAGTGGGGCATGAAATAATTTTTTTTCTCTCCTTAGACAAACACAGTTTTACAAAAGAAAAAAACAGCAGCCATGCGTAGGAAATTGCAAATTTATTCCCAACCAAGCACCCTAATCAATTTTTTTTGGACTCTTTGGTAATCTATTTCTAAGCTATTTTGGAGTCTTTTGGTAATCTATTTCTAAGCTATTTTGGAGTCTTTTTAGTTACTTAAACACATTAAATTACTTCATATCAGTCCAAACATCATGAAATATTCTTAAATATTTTTAATGGATGTTGATGACATATTTGAAGAGTTTTACACTTCTCTTGAATTTTTTTATATGATCCTAATTTTATGATGTTAGAATCCTCCAAAAATAATCTAAATTATCATGATCAAGTTGAGGTAATCTTTATTGGTTGTTTCTACAAGTTTTTACCTATAAATAGCTCCATAAGTTTATTCATTTTCTTCACAAAACTTCCTTAAAAATTGCAGCAACTTTTCTCTTCTTTATACTCTATATATCCATAAAAATATTAAGTTATTTTACTCCCAATACACTAGCAAATCTTTTTCCAAAGGACTAGAAGGAGTTAGAGCCAACAAGAGTTCTTTTTAGAGCCCGTTTAAGGTAAGAAAACTCTTCCAAAAATCCTGCATTTTTTTAAAAGTGTTCTTCAAGCTCTTGAGACACTTTTTTCTAAATTGTTGTTCTTCACTAAAGCTCGATCTAGAGTCTCGGTTCTTTAATAGTCTTTAATAACTACGTTTCACTTTCTCTCTCGAACTCGAGGTATGTACAAAATCGTATTACACGGACTTTCTGTGCAACTACTATATTTGTAAAAATCCTTTTAAAAACACTCTTTGTATGATATAAGTTTATTTAAAAAAATATACAAAGTAGTATTTTAATCTCAAATTAATATTTTTAACACTTTTAAAATACAGTTATAAAAGTGATTCTCAAATTTGTATTTTATTCTTAAATTAATATTCCTATTATTATTCTTACTATTGTTATAAATATTATAATAATAATTTTAAATTAAATTAAATTTATATCAAATGAGATCCGATCATGTCATATCCGATCAGATTAGATCAAATCAGATTCAATCAGCTCTAGTCAGATCAGATCAAACACAATCGAATCAGATCAGATGCAATCAGATTAGGTCAAACTAGATCAGATGAGAGCTACAAAAAATCAGATAAGATCAGGTGAATAGAACGCAGCCTAGCCTTATTCTGATAAGATCAGAACCATCTTGATGATGTGAAGAGAACATGGCCTAAAATGTACACAAGCAACTAGAGAAAAATGACCTCAAGCCATCTCAAAGCAACCTTGTAAGGATATGGGGTGCACCCTCCCCTTTTCCCCTTTGCCAACTCAGCGTCATTGCTGTCATGTCAACTTCAACTTTCTCTTCCTCTTCTAGAGAAATACCTCCCGCTTTCCTCTTTGATTTTTTATATGATTTATTAACACTTATTTTAGTTTAAATAATTAAACTTAAAACATAAAAAATAACAATTTACTCTTTCAATTTTTAATATTATTTTTTAATACTTAATTTAATTAAAATAAATTAAAATAGTTAAACTAAAAATATAAATGCAATTAAATAATACAAACTTACAAAAACTCAAAATAAAAAAAGATATCAAAAAAAATAAAAAACTAAAAAAGAAAAGGTGGCAACAAAAAAAAGATAGAAGAAAGAAACAACACAAAAAAAGGAAGCAACACAAAACAAAGGATGAAGCAAAAGAGACAAACAAAAATAGAAAAATTGGATGGAAAAACAGGGAAAGGAATTCGCCTTTCCCGTTCCTGGTGGGGGGAGGGGGAGGATTGGCTTTCGGTTCCACTACCACATCACCCTTCCATTCCTCTTCTCGTTGAGCGGCTTGGGCGCACTGCATGGCCTAAGAAGGATGATTTTAAAAGTGATCAAAATTGAAGTATGTTTCATAGTGAATACTCACTCTCTCCGTGTTGCATTCTTTTAACTGTAAGTCTAAAATGACACTAGTGCTATTGGTGTTATTTGCTTACAGCAGTTCGTTTGGAGTACCTACGGTGCTCCGTTTGTAAAAACGACGGTTCCTACCCCCTATCCCTCCTCCTAAACCCCCCACCCCAGCCCCACCCCCTTCTTTTAAAATCTAATTTTACTATTTTTTGCACGTCTTATTGTTCTCTCCATGTTTCAATTTTCATATTCTACCTCCGTCCCTGAATATTTGTACACTTTTGACTTTTTTCTGGTCAACTATTTTTAACCTTTGACCTTTAATTAAATAAAATATATATTGTTTTTTAATTAGATAAAATAATATTTTGAAAATATTTGGTATAATAAATCAAATAAAATTATTTTTGTACCAATATCTAATATCTTTTTTATTTAATTTAAGGTCAAAATTTATCAATTTTGACCAAAAAGATGTCAAAAGTGGACAAATACTCAGGAACGGAGGGAGTATTTACTATTTTTTTTGTACGTCTTATTATTTTGTGAAGTACTCCTAAATTTATATCTTATGGTTTGATTTTCATAAAGTTTAAAAGAATTGTTGAGATTATTTACTTAGGATTTACTTAGATGAGAGAACAGTATTAAAGAATATAAGCTACAAATTCTTTATCATTTATCAAAATGAAGAATAACTTAACTGGTATTTTTTTCGAAACATGTAAAAACAATTTTTTTTTAGTGTTTTATGGGATGAAGGAGTATCATACTTAGGGGTAGACATGGGTCTGGTTCCGACCCAGTACCGGAACTGGTAGTGGCGGTTTCGGAACCCGGCCTGGCAACGACGGTGGTATGGAGGGGGACAAGATTAGGTACCGGAACCAATGAACACAGTACCCGGTTTCGAGGAAGGGGAGGCGGTACGGTGCTGGAACCGGCGGTCCCAGGTATTTTTCTTTTTTGAGTTAAATAGTGGGCCCCACAACTGGGAAAAAATAAACGAGGAGGCACAATTTAGTTGACTCTAAGAGCAATATAGGTGTTTGGAGTGATTCGAGCTTGGGGAGGGGGTGGGGGGTTAAAAAAATTCTTATAAATAGTCTCATTTTATTAATATATTATTTAATATTAATATTTATATTATTTAAAATGTCGGGTAGAAGGTATGTCGATATGGGGAGTGTGCACCGAAGAGTTCAAACAAAAGCAAAGCCCCTATCATGTTTGGAGGTTCTAGCTCATGTGCCTTTCAAGCGAGATACTCTGTCTCATCCTTTCCGATAATCCTGGAGTAATATATAGGCGATGCAATGAGTGATCAATAATTTGATCAGATCATGAGGATTAGGAATAATGTGAATCTTCAAACCAAGTCCCGAGAGTAATGTTCCAAGACCTCTGAAGGTCTAGGGAGAGGTGATTTATTTGTATATCATTTAGATAAAAAAACAATAAATGACATTGTTATAGAAATTTGCATTGTCTGATCCATGGTGTACCCTATGATGGATAAATGGTGTGATTTTTACTTGTATATTCATGATATTTATAAAAGAGCAATGCTAGGTTCACAAACAGATACTCACAAACTTCACAAACTTACTATTTATGGTTTAAATTTTCCTTTTAAAATTACTTTAGACCATTTAATTTTTTTACTGAAACTCACAAATAGTAAGTTTGTGACTATTGTGTTTGTGAACCAAGCATTGTTCTTTATAAACTTCACAAACTTACTATTTGTGAGTTTCAATAAAAAAAATTAAATGGTCTAAAGTAATTTTAAAAGGAAAATTTAAACCATAAATAGTACGTTTGTGAAGTTTGTGAGTATCTGTTTGTGAACCTAGCATTGCTCTTTATAAAATCCTTTATCCGTTAATCCTTTAATATAATATTTCAGATTCAGAAAACCAAAGCTTGACACGTAAAATGTTTACGTGAAATTTTTTTGACACGTGGATGATATCAGTACACATTAATGAGATCTAAAATCATTCATAAAAAATACTTCATACATGGAAAGTTGACTTCCTTTAAAATTAAAAAATTTCTTCGTTAAAATGTAATACTTTATTTTATATATTTATACTCTGCATTTTTTAAAATATTACACCAACGATTCCTGTGCCGAATTTAGTAACGCGTTAATCACATGTTTACCAATATGTGGGTTGGAGCTTGATGAAGATGTCATGGATTAATGAATAAGTTGATCAATTGGTGATGAGCTTTATCGACTGGTGTCTAGGCTTCAAATTTGATTATCGACAACTAAATAGAGAATAATTATATATGGTTTAAAGAGTTTAGAAATATAGAAAATAATAATTTGGAAAGGGCATATTGTAGAATTCATGTGATGATATATGACTTTAGATGAACTCATAGGTACACTCGATGAACGTGTGATTACAAATTGCGGGTTACGGAGTAAAATTTCATACATTTTGAAATCATTTTATTTACAATTTGGTATATCAATAATATATAAAAATTACATATTAAAAAATTATGTCAAAAGTTCTACAAAACAAGAGGTGACAAGAATATTTTATTTTATCAAATACTTAATGAAATCGCGTAAGCAAACAAAAGTTATCGAGAGGAGAGAAAAAAAAATTGTAATCTATTTAGGTACGGAGGGAGTACTAGTTGATACTCCGTATTATTTAAGATCTACGCTTTAAGACTGAAAATTTTAAAAAAAATTTATGAAGTATTACTATAGTTGTGTTTTAGATGAAAATGGTTATTATTATGAGCATTAATAGAATGGACGAAACTAAAGAAAGAGATACTGCTATTATCCCTTTTTCACTTTTTATACACAGAATTTCATGTTTTGTACAGTCCTCTAGAAGAAACAATAGCTCCTCCTGCCTCGAAGACAAAAAAAAGTTTTAGAAGAATACTTGGTGGCCTCTTGGCGAGAAAAGGTAAGAGAATCTCTACAAGTATAGGTGGAACAACAATAAGTTCGCATAGTAAACTTTTGATGTACCAAGCCGTCTCAGAGCAAACTTTTGATACAAATCATCCTGAATAGGACTAAAACATAGAAAAAAATATCAAAATAGGACTTTCATGTTTTTTTCCCGAAATAGGACTTTGCACTGTGGTAATGTGACTTTGCATTGTGGTAATGTGGCAGTGTACATGTGCAAATTACTATACTTTTTTGGTAATGTATATGACCATGTTTGGTAATGTAGTCCTATTTCGGGAATAAAAACATGGAAGTCCTATTTTGGTATATTTTCAATGTTTTGGTTCTACTTTGGTCTTTCTCCCAACTTTTGAACCATTAGAATAATAAATGCAGTTGTACTATTCAAATTTCATTATTTAATTAACAACTAGAGTTTTATATTAACTTATTTTACATATATTATTATAAAATGAAAAAAATTAAACGGTGTCCAGGCCTTATCATACTCCGTATTTGGTAATATTAATGTGGTTTTTTATACTCTCTCCGTCCCTAAATAAATTACAATTTTTTCTCTCTCTCCTCTCGATAATTTTTGTTTGCTTACGCGATTTTAATTAAGTATTTGATAAAATAAAATATTCTTATCACCTCTTGTTTTGTAGAACTTTTGACGTAGTTTTTTAATATATAATTTTTATATACTCCGTATTATAGATATACTGAATTGTAAATAAAATAATTTCAAAAAGTAAGAAATTTTACTCCGTAACCTGCAATATGTAATTAAATTGGGGACGGAGGAATAGAAAAATTAATGTGGTTTAAAATAATTCTGGTTTTTTCATGTCACATTGATAGTGGGCAGAGTGGAGGTTATGGAGCATATCTTATCCATAATAAGCCACATGTCCTCCCTTCATTTGACAGCAAGATCCTATTTTTATCTTCAATCAACACCGGAAAATCTGATGTCCACCACAACTTTGGTTCCTTCAAATTGGCCCACAAAAGAAGACTTTGGTGGCTTAGGCTCGTCCATCACTTGCCACCTCCTCTCCCACTCTTTCAATCTTTCTGCAGAGCCTATTCAACCCATTCTCATACATTAAAAACAAAACCAAAAAAAAGAATGGCAGCGCAGGCTCTCATCTCTTCACCATCCGCAAGACAGATTGTTGGTGGAGGGCATATCCAGAGAACCCCCAACAGGAAGTTTTCCTCTTGTGTCAGGGCTGCTTCTACTCCTCCTGTTAAGGTATATATGCCTCACTCTTTCTCCCTTTGTGATCAACTCTCTTTGTTTGTCCAGATTTACTTGTTTACTTTCTTATTCTTGTTCCTCCCGAATTAATTCTCCATTTTTAATATTTAATAATCGAATAATGTTGAATTATAGAAAATATTGCCATCTAAAACACTGTTAACTTAAATGGGTGACAATCCTCACCCTCACTTCTTTAAAGATTAGTACTTTGATGATTTTGATGGATCAGAAAATGAATTATTCATATAATCTGAGAGTTTCAATATTTTAATGCATATTAAAGTTTTATATTCTAGTATTGTATATTACTAGTGGTTTTATAATGGCCATTAGGTTAAATTTGAACATTGCTAGTGTCAAATTGGTGTTTAAATTACTTGCACTAAGCAAATGCAGCAAATGTACTTGTTCTCAAATTTCAGCAAGGTGCAGATAGGCAGCTCTGGTTTGCATCCAGGCAGAGTCTGAGCTACTTGGATGGCAGGTATAATCGTCTAACGGTCTCTTTCGATTGAGGTGGAGATTTTATTTAGTTTGTGTCTATATACATAATATACAGCGCTTCGAAACACGAATAAAAATGATTCAAATGCTATACAGTCACAAATAGATAAATACTCAGTGGTAAATCAAAATGACAGCCTCCCCGGAGACTATGGGTTTGACCCACTGGGACTCTCAGACCCTGAAGGTCAAGGGGGTTTCATGGAGCCAAAATGGCTAGCATATGGAGAGGTCATCAACGGTCGCTATGCCATGTTAGGGGCAGCAGGGGCCATAGCACCAGAAATTCTGGGGAAGGCCGGTCTTATCCCATCTGAAACCGCCCTCCCATGGTTCCAATCCGGAGTCATCCCACCTGTAGGAGCATACAACTACTGGGCTGATCCGTACACGCTGTTCGTGTTTGAATTGGCCCTGATGGGGTTCGCGGAGCACAGGAGATACCAAGACTGGGCGAACCCCGGGTCTATGGGAAAACAGTACTTCTTGGGGTTGGAGAAGGGGCTGGGAGGGTCGGGCGACCCGGCCTACCCTGGTGGCCCCATCTTCAACCCACTGGGGTTTGGGAAAGATGTGAAGTCTATGAAGGAGTTGAAGGTGAAGGAGATCAAGAATGGGAGGCTGGCCATGTTGGCTGTCTTGGGCTACTTCATCCAGGCTATGGTCACTGGAGTTGGACCTTTCCAGAACCTTCTGGATCATTTGGCTGATCCTGTCAACAATAACCTCTTCACCAACCTCAAATTACACTGAACTTAATTGATAATTAGTACTCAGATCATCATGTGTATATGGTTAGTTGTGTGACTTTGAATACCCCTTTATTCCTCTCCCGGTTCTTGTTGGAGCTTTCTGTATCAGTCTTTTATTGGACAAAAAAAAGATGATAAGCGAGTTTTGGAATACAAAATGATACCCCTCCGTCCCATAAAGGTTTTCCTATTATTGGTTACGAGACAATATGAGAAAACACTAGATTTTCATTTGAAATGATTACTGAAATTAAGCAACTAAAGGGATTTGTGAAAAAAACCTTTGTGAAAGAATAAAGCTAGTGTAATTCTAACATTTTGAAGTTATCATGACCCCAAATTTTTAAGAGACATGCACAAACAATAAATTGGGATTATGATAACTCTAAAATGTTGGATTTACCACAGCACGACTCTTTATAGGACAAGAGTATAAAAGAATATGTCTACAACATTTTATATTTTAAGTAGAAAGTTTTTAAAACTTGACCATAAACTTTCATGCACAAATGGGTTGAAAGTGCTTTAGAAACTACAAGTTATTACTCTATTAGACGTATTAGTACTCCGTATTTAGTATTTACACTTTTTAGGGCTTGTTTGGCAAATGCAGGTTAGAGTTTGTGTTTCTATTTTAAAAAAATAATCTACATGGTTAAAATTTTATTCCATACACTAACGCATTGATCGAAAACTTTAATTTGTTCCCATGCATGACCTTAATAAGTCGCAAGAGCTCAGGCACAACCCATCTTCATTCTACAAACCAGATGTAAAAAAATAAAATAAAATAAAAACAAAAGCTTCATCTTAGGGTCCCTTCAACTCCGATAGTTATTTGAGAAGAGGTAAATAGAAATCTATTCTCGAAGGAGCAATAGAAAATGGGATTTTCCTTTAGTCTTAGCAAAGATCGTTATGCAGAACATAATAATCTCACACTGCCTTGATCAGTAGAAGTTGAATCCGACCGCAATACCCTTTTGCATTTTCTATTGACCACTACGTGAGTTACATTGAATTACATTGGAAGTATCACAGCTATAAACATTGTAACAAATAGTTTTCTTAACTTTAATTTGTATAAAAAAAGTAACCCAACATTAAATTTTGTTACAAAAGGGTACCTCCAACAAGTTTTCAGGTCACCAATAGGTAATAAGGAGTAAACCAATTTTTTAAATCTTTTTATATTTTTTACCACAACAGTATTTTACTTACTTTGTTAAGCCCAATATTACTAGAATTTGTCCCAATTTTTTTCTAACAAATCCTTCAAATTTAAGTTAACAAATATGAAGTATTTGATTTTTATTTTAGTTTTTATTATTCTATATATAAATTAATAGAAATTCACAAAGCTATTCTTATTTTTTTACAAAATTTATAGTTATATCCATCTTATTTTTTAAAATATACCATCTCTCTAATTTAAAATAATAAAAAAGACCCCTTCTATTGACAACAACGCATAATATCATATTATGTCACACGTCTCACATTCGCACGATGAGTTGATGTCAAACTTAGGGATATATTTCATGTTAATTAATTTTCGAAGAAATGCATAATTAATATGTCGTAGTCTATCATATCATAAATTAGAAAATGTGTTGACAACATGTGTGTTATTAACTTTCTCAACAAGAGTGAGTACATTAAGCTTAAAAATCCATCAGAAATATAGCCTCTACGTATGTAAATCCCCCTATTGCGCAAGATCAACTTGTCAGACTTGAACACCATACGAAACTGATATTTGTTCAACAATGAATCTAACAACAAGTTTTTTTACGCCTGGCACATAAGACTCACCATTCAACATGAGCTTCTTGATGGATGTCATCTTGAGCTTTACCTTGCCCACACCGAGAATCTCAGATTGGGCGGAGTTTTCCCATCCATACATTGTCGCCAAAAATCTCCTTGAAGTCAAAGAGTATGGCACATAGAAGCATATATGACGAGTGGCTCTAGTATCAACCCACCACTCCTTCGAGTGAGACCCAACCATGTTGACCTCTGTCATGACTGCACATAGATCTATAGTACCTAGCTTTGAGTAGAAGGCCTCTTCCTTCTTTTTTGAGGCTTCTTTCTAGACTCTGAAGAAAAGTGGCACGTAATACTATAAGACAATGTGGTACTAGGCGAATATATATTTTGCAATGTCTATTATGTACTTTATAATATTGTATTTATTGATTGTATTATAATGTATTTATTTATTTATTTATTTTCTTTCCTTGTAGAGATGTATTTCCTAGTTAGATTGTATATAGGAGTGGCAACTTGTGTACTATATATATGCTTAAATGGTGGAATGGAAAGGAAACAAATTCAGTTCTAAGATTCTACAATTACCCATTGTTTTTTAGGGTTTCATGATGACAAAAGGCCAAATCATTTGAGCATCAAGGCTAAGTAAGAGATTAAATACAATATCTTCAACCTCCGTATCAAGTCCGTGATGAAGGGACAAGTCAATGATCGAGGCCAAGCTTCTTAGATGGGGTAGTTCCTAGGCCTTAATTATTTGTTAAAGGATATGACATTGGGAATGGCTCTTAGACTATCCTCGGCGATTCATATTTGATCCCTAATCTTTTCCCAATGATTCTTCTTCATTCCAAGTGTTAAAAAATAAGTTTTGGTATACATTCGATTGTTTGTGTTGTACATTCGAATGTATGACTATCCACACTGAATAAGATCTAAAAACTGCCATAAATCGCTAAAAACTACATGGCATTCAAATGTTTTGTAAACCATTCGAACGTTTGTACTTTCTAGTAGTTGTAATCAAATAACAACTGAAACATTTGAAGATGGGGTTTAACATTTGAATGTTTGCAGTTGGTAGTTACAGTGGCAGTTTTCAAGAATGTCAAAGTCTATAAACATTCCCATTTGACCCCGAATGTTCATCAAGCATCTCCAACATTGTTCTAACTCTTTTGAAAGCATTATTTATGAAAAATACACCATATAACCAAGCAAGTGATCATTGTTGGTGGTCATATTCCTTTCTTACTTGCGTTTCATGCTCGTTGCTTGATTCTTCGAGAATTTCTACTGTCATAATTTATAAGAATTTTGTATTGGATCACATATGCTCTATTGAGAGAGTAATTTCCATTGTGGTTTGATTTCCTTCTTGTGAGAAAGGGTGTAAAATCTTGATGTTGGACTACGCCAAGTGGTGATAGGAAATATGGTGTTGAGATCATGCCATGTGGTTTGAGAAATATTGATGTTGGGACTACGTCAAGTGGTGAAGTCTTATGACTATTGTGATCAAGTTGTGGGTGATAGGTTAAGAGGCTTGTGTGATTCAAGTTCTCGAGTTGTAAGGTTTTCCAAACACCGTTAAGTTTGGTGGGGTGGTTAGTGGAATCTTGAACACAGTTGTGTTGTGGGGACTAAATGTAGGCATTAGGCAAACAAATATGTATTGTGTGTTCTTTACTTCTTTTCAGTACTTTCTTCTCCTCGTGGTTGCATGTTTTTGAGTGTTTTATACACGATTGTAATAGAGAGCATATGTAACACCATGAAAATTAGGTTAATAGTTAGCTACAAAGAAATAAGAATGATGGAGAGCCCTTGGATATATATATATATATATATATATATATATATATATATATATATATATATATATATATATATATAGACACACACACACACACACACACACACACACACACACATACATACATACAGACACACACACACACACACACACACACACACACACATATAGGGGTGAGATCATGTGAGAAAGGCTCCTAGTGAAAGAAATAAGAATGGAGAGCCATTGGATTTGGACGAATGGATGGTTGTGATTGTTCAATCACTTATTAATGAATGGTGGGCTGCACATGGTATGTTTAAAATTACGTGTTTTAAAAAAAGGAAAGCAGCACAACAGGGGTATTTTTGCCATTGAAAAGTGCACACGTGCATGTCCCAAAAATGAATCCCGCCTGGTATTCCTATTTTGGTGCTACTTTCGAGTAGGAAACGCAGAGGCAAAATTCACACTCCAATTTTGAGAGGGCTCTTGGAGTTGTACACTGCAATTCGAATTCTTGTGGCTATGGCAACGGAGAAAAATGTTAGCGATAAGAGTCTGACACCTTTAACATCGCCGGAAGAAGGAGGTACTGTTTTATACTTAATTTTTTAAGAAATTGAAGATTATGGTATATTCTGATTTGAACAAGTAATTGCATGTGTTCCAGTAGGGTTTCGGATGTGTTTGGTAGTTGCGTTTGTGAAAAACGATGCACAGAGTTTATTTTTTATGTCATTGATTTTGGAATGGGGGGGGGGGGAGTGGGTAATATAAAATTGAGGATTCTAGGTCAAGTTTTTTTAATTTTTTTTTGGGTTTTGGGTGAGGATGGGTGTAGCATGAGTCGTTGATTGATAAAATGTCATCAGTGCTTTGATGTTTTGTATGATGCATTTCTAGGGTTTTGTTGTGCATAATTGTGGTATTTGTGTGCGTAGTGGTGGAGAGGGTTCGAATTGAAATTAAAGTAATTGAGTTTGAAATTTTTCAGAAAGAAAAATTGGGTTTTTAAGGGATTGTTTAATTGATTTTCTGATTTTTAAGGTATATGGTTCTGTTTAGCAGCATTACTGTTTTTTAAGCAATTTAGTGCAATTGGTATAGAAAATGTTTAGATGGATTGCTATACAGATTACAAAAAATGCGAAATAGTAAGAATATGTAAGAACAGAAGGTGTGCAACGCATATTGACAGGGCTAGTTTAACAGTATTATACTTATTCTTCAAGGCATAACAGAAGGCATTAGAGAATATACCTATTTGTGTTGAAGGTTGCGTCAAACGAAATGACGTCTCCAAACATTGCGTACTTCTTCCTAGCGATAGGATCGCACCAAAATACCCTGGTTAGCTGGTCACTCTCATCGACATCATAATCAAAGTGGAATGCAGAGCATGTTTGTTTCTTTCTGAATAGTTTGTCAATGAGCATCAGCGCCTGCAATGTATGCTTTCAAGTCCCTTTTGAAATTTTTAAATTCAACGGCAGTGGCACCGACATTATTGTAGCCCCCAACTGATTCCTTAAACAATCTATATGACTTCATTGGCCCAATGTTCGCCTTTGCACAATTCAACATAAACTTGTTGTGGCCAATTTCTAAGTTTCTGTTGATTTTCAGAAAGGGTCTAGATGGAATGGACAACATTGGATGGTTATGCGTTTCTATGAATGACGATATGGTGTACCCTACACCACCCACGAGCCTAAACTGTAATACCCCGTATCAAGATGGAAAAGGGAAGAGCTCAAAAGGATTGATAGTACTACTCATACCAACAAGGTGCATCTTCTTTTCGAGAGCTCATCACCTAGAAACTTCATAGTTAAGCGTGCTTGACCTGGAGCAATTCTAGGATGGGTGACCCCCTGAGAAGTTTCCTTGGGCGCACATGAGTGAGGACAAAGTGCGCGGGAAAAGACTTGTGTTGGTTTGTGGGGCCAGTCTATAATCCTTTGAGCGAACACTTACGGCCAGGGTGGGGGCCGGGGTGTTACAAATGGTATCAGAGCAACCCTGCGACCGTGACGAGCCAAAAGAGCTTAGTTCACCTAGCGGGGAAGATCTATGGGGTTCAAAAAAAAGGATGCAACGAGGACGTTGCAATCCTAAGTGGGGGTGAATGTAGTACCCCGTATGAAGATGGAAAAGGGAAGAGCTCAAAAGGATTGATAGTACTACTCATACCAACAAGGTGCATCTTCTTTTCGAGAGCTCATCACCTAGAAACTTCAAAGTTAAGCGTGCTTGACCTGGAGCAATTCTAGGATGGGTGACCCCTTGGGAAGTCTCCTTGGGCGCGCGGGAAAAGACTTGTGTTGTTTTGTGGGGCCAGTCTATAATCCTTTGAGCGAACACTTACGGCCGGGGTGTTACATAAACGCCACACGCGCCTTGCAATCAACACGATTTGAAATGCATCTCCTCTGTTTTGCCTTTGGCACTCCATCATCGTGAGTGGGTTTGTTAACAATTGGTGCAAAATGTTTATGACCCTCACGGTTGCATACAACGTACCGCCAAACAACAATACCTGAAACCTTCAAATTAGTGCTTTTGCGAATATCAAAACCTCTTAGTGAGGCATATTGCTTGTAAAAATTAAATCCGTCCTCCAAGGATTTGAACACCATTCCCACTTTAGGTTTGGAGTCTTCAGGGCAAAGAGGAATAAATAAGTTGGATGAAGAAGAAATAATTTCTGTTATATGGGGCGTGTCTTCGGTTAGAGAAGTAGATGTGTGCATTGCCGATAGAGAGATAAACATGTTGATTAATGCACTACTTATATCTGATTATGCAATACAGGATGCAAAACAATGCGAAATAAAGTAACATATATGAATATATAAGCACAGAGTGTCTGCAACATCATGGAGCATGAATTCATGAAAAACATAATGAAAAGAAACCACAAACATACGAAGACCATGATTATGCAATACAGGACACGAAACAGTACTCCAAAAAAACAAATACTTACAAATAATTTGAGAAGGATAAGAGAAGCATTCATGAAACCAAATCAGTGGATCATATTTAATGCAGTAAGCAGACATGAAGGTGCAATACTCATTGCATAAAACGCGTAATAGAAATAAAAATAAAAAGCTCAAGTTATATAAAATTGTGAAGTAGACTTTCATGAAGCTGTGAGAATTGCCGTGGAATGAAAGAAAAGGAGAACACCAAAAAGCAAAATTCTGAACAACACGAATGTTTACATGTAATTTCACCCCGAAAGCAGAAGCATTCGTGAAGTCAACACAAATGTTTATATGAATCCTACGAACTCGAGCAGGCGTGCAAAATTTCCAGACGACATTTGCATAATTCTAAACATAACAAAACCAAAAAATTAAAACAAACCTGGAACCATGATAAAGAATCGATCAAGCAGCTGGAATCCCAATATCGGACGATTGAGAGGTTTGTAAAACTAAGAAGTTGATAAATAAGGGAATTCATATCTGCGGAACTGATATGGAGGAAATGGGGAAAGTGAATCCGATCGTGAGCGCGAAATCAGGGATGAGGATGTTTAACGATGTTTAGCGTTTATTACTGTGACCGTAAAAAGACCCATATGCTCTGGCGATCAGATTAAGATCTGATTAGATCGGATGGTTTATATTCATTCTTATTTCTTTCATTAGATCCCTTTCTCACCAGAACCAAACCCTATATATATAGGGGTCGGTTCCTGTGAGAATGGACCTTGTGGAGAGAAATGAGAATGAATTGGGATCATAGGATTAGATGCATCGTGCGGCTATGATTTTTTTGAGAAATATGGGGCGGATGTGAGATATATATGGATAGTAATGATTAGAGTGCATCAATTTAGGAAAATATTAGTTGGAAGGGTAGATCTGTCATTCTATGCTGCATTGAGTGTCGTGCACGAATTAAAAATACGCATCCCACCTTTCTCGGTTACCATTTTCGTAAAGAAAGAGCCTCCTTTAACGCTTACCAAGTTTGAAGGTGCAGAGACAAATCTGCGATGCAATAGGCCTATCACCATATTCCGATCCAAGAGTAGAGAGCGAAAGACACGAAGATGGCGATGACTAGAGATGCATCGGAGGTAGAAACACCGAAGGTTTTTTTAAGGACTAAAGTTCCGGCTGCAACAAAAGGTATGAGTTCCGGTTTTCAATTTGCTTAGACGGTGTTCATCTGCCACTTTGGGGTACTTACACTGGTTTATTGTGAAACGATTCATTTGCATGTCTTTCGTTGCATCTAATCTTTAGGTATTGTGATGAGATGGTTTATGTGGATTCTTTTAGGGGTTTTTTGTTCAATTGTAGTAGGAATGCATCAGAGGTGCTCAAAATTAGGGTTTTGATGCGATTGGATGGGAGTCTAGATTCGCAATTGGGGTTTGTTAGTGAGACTACTTTTATACGCATTTTGTAAATACTAGGAATGCATTATGTTCATGTTATTGATGCATTATTGTATTGTTATGCAATGTATACATGAATGCACCGTGTGTTATGTTGCGATTGTGGGAAAGTATGTAAATTCTGTGATATGCTGAGGGTATTATAGTGTCTTCCTAGGAGGGATGCATTCTGGATGCCTTCCAATGCAACACTGGGTAGTTATATTGTAAGTAGATGCATTTTTTGTGTTGTTTCCGTTTAATTTTCTGGTCTCAAGTTCGTAAATAATTATGAAATCATGTTTTTATAGAAAAATTATGCTTTAGTAACATTTAGGATGGTATGCTATTGTGGGGTGTGTTTTGGAGGGAATTTGTAAATAAGTGGTTGGGAATATCTGTATAGACTGTATATGCATTACGAAACTGCTATTAGTGCATTATGTAGACATTATTGATGCATTATTGTATTTGAGTATGATATGTACAGAAATGCACCCTGTGTTTCAAGTAATGTAAATGTTATTGATGAATTTGAGATGATTTAGGAGTGTTTGCGTATGGATGTTGTATTTAAATTTAAGCATTAGAACTGAGAATATGAAAACTGGTGTATGCATAATCTTGTTTTATTTAAGCATTAGAACTTAGAATGGTGTGAAGTGATTTAATGAAATAATGAAATTGATTCAGGTAAAGAAGGTGAAGAAATAAATAAGGGAGTTGTGGTAAAGGGGAGTAAAACTGGTAATTCAACTGCATCAACATCAACAAGATGCCAGAGCAAGAGGTTGATAAATGTTAAATTGAAAAATAAGCCAAAGAGTTGACCTGTGCGTATGGAGGTTGCAGATGATGACAGAGTAGAGGAAAAAATGAAAACAACACACTTGATGACGACATGGTTGTTGGAGATTCTGAAAGCCACAGAGATGTTGAGGACAAGGTTGATGAAAATGAAAGTTGTGAAGATGGAGAGGAGGAAGCAGATGAAGATGCAGCATATAATGAAGAGTGCAGTAATGAGGATGACAAAGAGTTGGGTTCCTTCATTTCCCTCTGAACCGATAGTGCGTGTTTTTGTTTCTACCTTGTGATGTGCTTCAGTTGTGTCATGCTTCAGCCAAAGAAAATTGGGGTAGTAGGACTTATGAATGTTTTGGGATATTTGTTAAAAGTATATTCATGCAAATCTAAATAAAGAGAAGTTAATCGATTTGGTTATTAGTGCATCTATGAGTATTTGAATAGCATTTTTACATTATGCATAGTACATTTTGATTGTAATCCCGATTAATATTTTTTAATCTACACGATAAACAACTCCTTTGTTATGTTTTTTTGTTCTATCAAAGGGGTGAAAGCCAAATATACTTTAACCGTTATGTTAATTTAATGTGTCTAGTTTGATGTCAGATATAAAGAAATCTAAAAAAAAGAAATGAATCATCTTTTCCCAAAATTTGACCACTTTGAAGTTTTGTCTTTTAATTACACTGTGTATACAAATATTTCTTGTAATGCATATTGATATTTGTGTTATCGAATAAATTTAAGATCTTAGAACATAGTGCATTTAAACAGTTCAGAGTTGCACTTCAACTCATACCTGGAGTATTATTTAAACACGAGCCTATAGAATTATTTGAGAGCATATTTGCTTTTTATACTAGATGGTGACGCATGCATATGAACATGATTGCATTTCATATTTATATATATTGCACTCTGAAGCTTCTATCTGGCATTTCCTGGTGGTGTTGGATGCAACAATATTTGGTTTCTCCTGTATTAGCTTTGCTCAAAATAGTAAGACTGTATTTTGCTAAAATAGGCTTCTCAAAATGTATTTTACAAAATATATAATAGCAAAGTAGTGACACTACATAAATAAAGTAATTGAAGATTTGCCTATGCGGGATTCGAACCCACATCTATATGCAAGTGCATATTGCTCTACCATTTGAGCTAATAGACAAAAACAATTTAAATTGATTTATATATAAAAAATAAAAAGGTGTTATTTACTCTAAAGAGCATCAATTCCATT